GTCGGGAGAGCTGGCGATGGAGGAGACAGAGGGTTGGGGTTCAGAGAGGAGGGGAGCTCTGGATGGACTCCATGGATGACCAAGTTGAAGGAGGCAAATAAGGCCGGGCCCAGTGGCTCACGTTTGTATTCCCAGCTACCCGAGGAGAGAAAGGAGGGATGGAAGTTCCAGACCAGCTCCGACCCTGTGTCAAAAATAACTAAATAAATGAACGGGACGCGGCGGCGGGGGGCATCGCTGCGACTCTGGGTGTGCTGCCCGGGCGGTGGAGGCAGGGAGGATCGCAGACCGAGGCTCCACTTGGAGCAATGTTAGGTGCGAGACTCGTACGTCAAAGACACAAGCCGGAAGCCAAAGGTTTGGGGACGTAGTGCAAGAGGTAGAGTTGGCAGGGTGTTGCGTGGAGAAGTTTGAGGCCCTGAGTTCAGTCACCAGGGGAGAGAGGGAGAAGGGGGGAGGGAGGGAGAGAAAGAAAGAGCAGGAGACTGGACATGAGCATTGATATTTCTGTTCTTCCTCGGACCTTCAAGAGATGGCTCAGAACGCATTCGATAAACACAGAATCTGTGAAGGGGGTTGAGTGGGTTTTGTTTTTCTTCTGGGGGTCGGGAAGACACTTCAGTCAAATGAAGAAATGTCCTGTTTTATTGTAGTATTGTAGCCCGTGAACACCACTTTCTTGATCCAGAAGCCCATATTCTCATACTGGACTTCCCTCCTCCCCCCCGCCCCCCGCCTCCTCTCTCTCTCTCTCTCTCTGTTGGCCAGAGCCAGGTTTTTACATTACAGCTCATTTCCTACACATTTACATTTTCATTGCCTGATGAGATTCTGGAGTCTCTCCAATCACATTGAATATTTATTTACTTGTAACACTTTGGAGCGAGGAAATGTTTATATATTATATAAGAGATATAAGATATATCTCGCCGGGTGCCGGTGCGCACGCCTGCCATTCCAGCTACTCTGGAGGCTGAGATCTGAGGATCATGGTTCAAAGCCAGCCCGGGGTAGAAAAATCCACAAGACTCTGATCTCCCATGAACCACCAGAAAACAGGAAGTGGCGCTGTGGCTCAAGTGGTAGAGCACCAACCTTGAGTAAAAAGAAGCTCAGAGTTCAAGCCC